ATCTGACGGTTCAAGTGAGAACTGGAATTCGGTCTCGCCCTCGAGATCTTCATGATCCAGAGCAATGCGCTGTCGTCTTGACTCATTCAGTGCTTCAATTTGCTTGTCTTTCCCCAGAGCAACTGCCTTCGATCTAGACTTGCTCATTGAATCGATCGGGTCGTAGCATCGCTGAATGAGCATACAAGACTTGGATGGGTAAGTCTGGCGTAGAAAGACCTCCACCAACAGCAAATTATTTTTGTCTGCAAGCGCAAAAAAATCACAAACAACGCCACGAATGAAGTCTAGAAAAGTTGTATACTCGGGCAGGCGCTGGATATACGTATCGTGAAGCATCTTATTAAATACCAAAAGCACGTGAATGTTGAAAAGCATCGGTTGCATCGTCCATTTCTCTTGCTGATAGATCTGGAAGTGCTTTGTTCGGTAGAAGAACGAATGGATGTAATGGTTGACTTTTGAACTGTTATCACGGTATTCAGCAAGTAGTGAAGTGTACATCCGGACTGTATCTCCTGATACCATGCTTAGAAAATACCTTCGAACGTCAAAGTCAGCTTCCTTTCGCTGCATTTCCATCAAAAGCTGTGTATGTCGTTCTGATTCTTCCTCGTCAGTCGAGCTACCATCCGCTTCTTCTTCATTTTTCGACTCGTCGTCTATTTTCTTCTGCCCTTTTCTAGGTTACAGTAATGGTCTGTTATTGTAAAATTGATTGCGACATGAACGAGTGGAGCTCATCTGATAACTTACTTGCTCAGATACGCCTTTCGTCTTGAAAGCACCTTAATCGATCCTTGGGAATCCAGCACTTTGAATACAAGCTGCGTCAAATTACATTTCAATCAGCCCATTACGCTTGAGGTAAGCAATAAGATTAGACTCACATGAGTAAGTGTAACTACGTCAACCACGTAGGCCTTGGGGAAAAGTCCTGGGGACCACGTTTTAAGCAACACAGGAATGCGATCTAAAAAGTCGCGCTCGTAGAAAATTTTGTGCTGCAAGGAGTCTGCGATCCGTTGAAGACGCGAGTCATCACTCGCTGTAAGCTCTGCAAGATATGCCATCATCTCAGTTAAAAGTTGAACGGATACGGTCATGCCGTGATAGTTTTTCATTGTGGCGTAATTTTCAATAGACTGAAGCACAAAGTTGAACGAGAACATATCCAATGTGGAAAGCACTGCTTTCTCATCGTAACTTGGCTTCTCAATGGCTACATGTGGAGTAGGAGTGACACCCAATGCATTTTGAGACTCTTTTGTCTTCTTTTGTATGATTTTTAATTGATGCTTGTAATGCGATTTGAGCATCTGAATCCTTAAGCGGTGATAAGTCGTGAGAAACCATACAAGATAAAAATACTGTAGTCGATCTGTGGAGATCAATTTGTTACTTCCTCGACGAAATTCGGTCTTTAATGAATTCGTAAGCTGAGCGTATGATTTGGCAACAATAGAGTCACAAATCTCCCGAAGGACACGCATTGTGCGTCTGATAAATAAATCAATATGCTAATAAAAGATACATTAAACAAAAGAGAAAGCAACAACGTACTCATCCGACTCAGTGACTCTGCCTTTGCCTCCAAAAATCTCGTGGAAGTCTGTAGTTGAACTGGTGCTTTTTTGTCCTCTTTTTCGAGAAATAGGCTTCTTGGCAGCCTGCGGCACCTGGTCGTACATAGCCTTGGAAAAATCTGACAACACCGATGTCCGACCAGTTGGACCAACAATAGTCAAGACGCCACCAAAATTTGAATGACGGCGTGATCGTGATTGTGGCATCGCTGACGCCTTCTTTTCATCGTCAAGCTTGGCCAAAAGATCGTGTTGTGTAGGTATTTTTTTTTCAATTGTAAGCGATGATCTCGTCAGTGCAGACTGCTGGTCATTCAAGCACGAATTCGTACCACTCATCAATTCTTTTTTTGTGAAAGACACCACTGATTTTGGCTGAGAGCTCTCGAGTGTCAAGCAAAGTATTTCCATGATCAGTAGGTTCCAGTCTCTACTTTCAGGTGAATCAATGTCCTGCGCAAAGAGTAAAATCATCTCGTACACACTTTCTTCATGCAGCGTGCAAATTAAATCCTCTTGCAAATGGCTAAAGAATGACGTGGTTGAGGTCACAAATCTCGGGTCTTCGTTAGGAATTGCCAGTAAATTTCGGATCAAAGTGAGTACAATTTCTATATACAAATAATCCTGATCGGTACGAGGTCTTTTTCGAGACAAGGGGTCCAAAAGGATTGTCATCATTATCGAGATGACACCATAACGTAAAAATTCGTGTTTGTAGTGGCGTAGATACTTTAGCTGTAGTGCGATGTTAGTAGACTCTCGCGATGGCTTCATTGTAAGCATCACCAATACTTTGAGAATAGACAAAACGAGTGTCAAATCATGCTGGTGGTTCACGAGCAACGGAAGTAGTTTTTTCTGTAAAATCTTCCACTTGCCCAGCTGCTTGGCAACCAATTTGTATTTAGCGTGGTCTCTCCGTATGGCGCGTTGTAGATCGTGGATCCATTCCGTACAGTTTTCACCACGCATCAACATAGGAGGCTCGCCCTCTGTCTGTACACGCAGCATGCCCAAATTTGAGCACACAAGCAGCAGCTCGTTCATCATAGCCGCGTCGAGCTGCGGCTCATTGGCGTCAGTTTCTTCATCTGATGAAGACATGGCAAAATCTTCGAGCTCCTCGCCGCGCTCAGCAGAAGTTTCGGGATCATTGCGCTCAATAGATGCCGTAGATTCATCGCGTTTAATGGCGTCATTGACCTGAGTTGTGCTGTCCGCCATTGCTGTCTGGGTATTATAGCGTCAAAGTAGCGATATGTTGCTATGTTCGACTAATTACGATTAAAACTTGATCTAGAAAGTAGGTGAACCTATGGAGTCTACACATGGGACGCAAACGCCGCAGATGGAGTCGCAGTCACACGAACGGCAGCCACCTACGGACCATTCAAGCGGTCAAGTGCTCCAAAGAGTCCAGAATCTACACGGTCACGACCAGCAGCCGCAAATCTCCCAACACGGTCTGCAAGCGCCTCAAAATCGACAGCAGCAAAATTTTAGCTCCTCTGGCTATACTGGGGCATCTCTGGGAAATGTAGCAGTCAGTCAGCAGATTCAGTCGCAGCAGTTTCGGCAGCAGCAGCAATACAACTCTCAGCATCATTATCAACAGTATCACCAGCAGCAGCAACAACAACACCAACAACAGCAACAACAGCAACAACAGCAACAACAGCAGCAGCAGTCCATGTACAACCCTCCAAATTCTCAGCAAACTCCCCAGCAGCAGACCTTGTACAATCCTCCGAATTCACAGCAGCCCCCCCAGCAGCAGATGAATGTGTACAATCACAAGGCACCACCGGCAATGACTTTCAGCACAGCACCTGTCGAAGAGCGCGCTACACACCTTCTGGCAGCTTGTGAGTCCTGTCTTGTTGTCACTCGCGTGCCCGGTGTCGACATGTCATTTCGTCGCATTATGGAGCGCAAATGTTCTCGCTGTGGCGGTACATTGGTGTTGCCTCAAGAAGTTATGGAGATGTTGATCCTTTACGGTAACTTTGTGTCCGAGTCTGTTGCCGTAACGCTCGTTTTAGGCACAATGGTATTACATCCGTCCCTACGAGCAGATTTCATGGCTGCTGCAATGAACGATCTGCTGATCCCTTTACAGACCGACTTTGTTTATGATGTGGCCGTACCGAAGCGGAAAGAAGGACTGGGCATGTCGTTACGCATGAATCGTATGTTACATTGTGCCTTTGTCTGACTCTAGTTGTATCGCTAATGCGCTGCGTGTTTTATAGAAGGAAACCTTGTGGTCCGCGGCTTTATCGATTTTGAGAATAACCAGGAAAGTCCATCTGTGGCTGCTCGAATTATTTCTGTGGACGACGTTCTGGTGGCAATTAACAAGAAATCAATAACTTCGTGGACGTTTGAAAAAAGCATCAGCATGCTTGCTCATGCAGCGTCACCTGTATACTTGACATTTCGTCGCCGCCAGCCTGTCATGTTGCTATGAACCTAAGTATATTTCTTTGACATTTCGTTTAGCATATTTCTTTCAAAATAACGTTAGACAAGCTTATGCCCTTGATGGCCTTTATCAAAAAACAGCAATATCGACCCTAGTCTATAGTTAATTAATATTATTTTCTTTTCGACCAGCAAATCTATTTTTGCGTTGAAGTGGAGGTAGGCTTGTTTTAACAACAACAACTTAATTTATGATTCTAAAACCTTGTCAAAAGGCCATAGTCGTGCAGAGCACCGGGAGTCGAATGTGAAGGATACTTGGGAGCAGTGATCGAGTGTGTTTGCTTTAATAAGCTGTGTGCGAGTATAAAAGTGTTATTTTTGGACCGACTTACATTTCCTCTTGGCTTTGATAGGAAAAAGCTCCTGCGGGCAGATCGAATAACTAAGCCATTGTGGTAGTCATTTGTTGGAAAAGGCTTAAGTAATGGCTTCAACATTCAAGCGGCAGAAAAGAAGTGATCTGTAGACGAAAAGAAGCTATTCTCGATGACATATGTGTTTAACATGCCCACGTTATTCCGTCTTGCCGTTTGCGGGTAATACAGATTTGGTATTGTTGCGCATAGCAATGTCGTCCAGAATCCCTGTTTACTTGTATGATCAAGAGTCGCTTTTAGTCTAATTACATCGTGACAAGAGAATCAAATCATTAGAAGCTACTCGCTGCGCTAGAACGTAGCTCTCAAACGCTAATGCATGCAGACCTATCGCTTATAAAGAGCACCAGAAAGTCATTTTGCGAACGCTTTTTACCATGGGTCAACCATCCTCAACCCCATTACCTTCGCTTAGTGTGGCGATGGTTGGTAAAGCCCTTACGCGCCATGACGAATGTACCTAACGCTCTAAAAGCTTGCGATAATGTCGATTGGTGCAGAACTCATGCTTATTGGATGAGGTACCCGCGCCATCACAAACGTCCTATGGCTTCGCAAACAAGCTTCCGTAGAGCTGACGCATAGCTAGAGTCTCAACTAAGAAAAGCCACCCTGCCACGTTTACAACGGGATATAAGCTTAGAATGCACCAAGTCATTAGCGGTCCCGGCACCAAAACAATCTTGCCATTAACCATCCCCATAATAGTGGGTCACCAGCTGCTTATGCTGCTTATCGAGCAGCGCTGATGAGTAAGATTATTTCGCGACTGACTCTCGTGATCTGTCTCAGTTGTGGCGGCATGTCGACTGTCCGAGAGCCTGGGTGCGGCCAAAACTGAGATGGTTTCATTTACAAACGCGTTTTTTTAGCTACGCAATCGCACTGCATGGCTTGATACAGCCCCAGCAAGTCAGACTTGTGTCGCTGCTCAAGCTCAGCCACAGGGCGTGGTAGAGACTCTGCTTCATTCACAATAGAGACCTGTGTATCCGACTGGCTCTAAAGAGGAGGATGGTGATATGGCATTCGTAACCCCGGGTAGAGCGCATCGTGTGTATGAATTCTCTACGCTAAAGTAAGAACAATTCTTTATTTGCAACGACCATAAACAGTCCCTTGTAGCATAAAAGCAATTTTGTCTTTTTTTTTGCTCTATACATTGTAAAAACTGGCTGTAGGCAGTCAGTTAACCATATGTGTCACTCACTACTCAATATTATGAAAGGATAGTTTTTCATTTTACAAATTAACAAACGTAGTGTAAATCACGGGGTCGATCGTGCCTTCGAAAAGCTTATTGATCAACGACTTAATATTTTTGTCAAGGGCATATTGACGTCATCCTAATGATGCTGATGGTGGGCCGACTCGTATCTCATCAAGTTAATAGTTTTCTTGCGACTTTCATCAACAAAATAGAGTTGACACAGCACACCATTCGTGACACTCTGTATACACGTATTTCGAGCCTTACACAACTCCAGCATGTCTCTGCAATAAGTCGAACATTGTAAGTAATAAGGCACAGCTCGGAGCTTGTCTGAAAATGCACACAATTGTGCAATTACTTACGTAGTAACTAATGCAACGTGGACAGAAGGAACAACATATTGGGCATTGCAGTTGTTCGGTCAATACTTAAGCTTTTAAAATTTACTCTTCTGTATAGACGGCTAAGTAATTACAGAGCGCATTGTGTCAAAGCCGTTGCTCTATTGTCTCTTGCGGCACAATTTGTTATGAAGACCTCATTTCCAAATTCAGAGCTTGCGATGCAAGTCTTCTACTTCGTGCTGGCGACAGTAATCGCATGCCTCGCAACCAGCGGATACAGTGTTACCCCACCACAAGCCAAGAATACTCAAGTCAAGGCGGAATTTGAGATTTACACATCAACTCGTTCACTTGAAGCAGCTGGGAGCTACTCGAAAGATGAGGACGAAAAAAAGGATTTCGGCAAACCCTCCTTCATGCAAAAAGTTCGTTTCAAGTACTGGAAGACGATGGGTAAAACTCCTGGAGATCTCAGAAGGGAGTACTTTGATGGTATGTCAGAAGAAATCGTCAAGCAGAATCCAAATTACGTGATCTATATGCGATACAAAGCTTACTATGACAAGTAGAGTGATCGGTTAGCTCTATGCACAGTCTGAACAACAATAACGTGGTGGCATTGTCCAATTAACCACAACATTATTTATTGGGCTTCGCATCGAGATTTCGGAGCAGCAGAGCCTTGATTTGCTCCATGAAGTTGTATCACAAAACACGTCGTGCTTTTACATTTTAATACTTTGCCTTGTGAAGCTGCTTTTAATAATCACCATATTCGTTTAACTGTGCAATTGTTTTACACCATCCTTTGCAAATCCTTACTTAGAGCGCCCAATATTGTGAAGCACTAGCGAAAAGTATTCGTGATTTTAAGCGTGGTGTGTGGTAAAATAATGTCCTTACCACGTTTCGTCATCTCGTCGAAAATGACAAAAGCTAGAGGAATAAATTGGATCAGTCGGTATGCTGTTATACATCGAACAATGGCAACTACCACTTTTAACTTGATTTGCTCCACATATTATATTGATTCAATTTTTTTAAGTCACTTACGCGTTTGCAGTTGCTATCCATAAAGCCCGCATGATTAGCATAGTAGGCTCGTCCACTAGCAGCGATTAGTATGAATACTTAAACGCGCGTCTTAAATCTGATAATTTGCTCAAAAGTTGCTCACGCTGTCTTTAGATAAAAGCCATTTTCGACTCTGTTTACCATCTCTTACAAAAGCGAGCTTCACTTACAACGATAGTCGTTTGCAGTGTTCCTCAAAAACTTCAACATTCATCTCTGGCTTGATTCCCAGTTTTTCGGCTGGTAAATTGGCGCAGCAGACTTTGACAGCGGCGTCTTGCCAAGAATGATGTCGGCAGCTTTTTCAGCAATCATAATTGTTGGTGCATTTAGGTTGCCACTAACAATGTTTGGCATGACGGATGCATCAACAACACGCAAGTTCTCGACACCATGAACCCGCAAATGCGGATCGACGACAGTGTTTTCATCCACACCCATTCGATTGGTACACGATGGGTGATACGCGCTCTCTGTGTGCTGACGAATCCATTTATCGATCTCGGCATCGCTTTTGACATTAATGGATGGCGAAATCGGGTCACCGCGGTACTCGTCAAGCGTCTGCTGCTCTAAGATTTCACGCGTGAGCTTTACACCATTTCGCATGTCCACAAGATCCTGCTCGACTTCTAAATAGTTCGGTTCGATTATCGGATGGTCGTGTGGGTTCAAACTACGCAACTTGATCCAGCCTCGGCTTTGAGCACGCATCGGCGAACAGTGAGCTTGCATGGCGTGAAATGCTCCGGGAGTAAGCTGTCCGGTAAGTGAACCTGGCAGGAAGTGATATTGAAGATCAGGGTGACGCTTACCAGGTGCACTGCGGATAAATCCCCCTGACTCGAGGTGAGACGACGCTCCCATCCCTGTTTGATAAAAGATCCATTCTAAAGCGATCGCAACCATATTGTGAGGGTATTTCCTGAATACAATTTCAATTCAGTGCATTTTGAAGATGACAGGCACATTTGATTGGGACTAACCATGTTGCATTATGCAGTGTGATTGGTTTTTTGCACAAGTACTGGATGTACATATCTAGATGATCCTCCATGTTTCGACCAACTGCTGGCAAGTGCTGCACAAGTGACACACCCACATCCTTGAGGTGATCAGCATCTCCAATACCAGACAGCATGAGGAGCTGTGGTGAATTGATGGCACCTCCAGATAGGATAATCTCTTTGGCTGCACGAACTTGCCTAGTGTCTTTGTCGCGATCTTCAACTTTGATGCCAACGGCCTTCTTACCCTCAAAAACAACCTTACTAACAAAAGTATCTGTAACAACCTTGAGATTGGAGCGCTTCATAGCTGGACGAAGATAGGCGGAGGCAGTGCTCCAACGACGGCCTTTCCAAATAGTCATATCCATCCAGCCAAAGCCCTCTTGTTGAAATCCATTCATGTCATCAGTAAAGGGATATCCTGCCTGCACACCTGCATCAATAAACTTTTTGAAAAGAATCTGATCCTTCTGATTGCCGCGGACGACGTGCAAAGGGCCATCCCCACCGCGGTAATCATCTGGACCCAGCTCATGATGTTGTGCTTTACGAAAGTAGGGCAGACAGTCAGCGTAGCTCCAACCATCGGCACCACTGGCCTGCCAATCGTCGTAGTCGTATGCGTGTCCGCGTATGTAGACCATAGCATTTAGAGACGAGGAGCCCCCGAGTACGCGGCCACGCGGCCATGGAAGACGGCGGCCATTAAGATTCTTCTGAGGCTCTGTGTGAAAGCACCAATTATACTTATCGTCGCCCAGGTTAAAGGTTAGGGCAGCTGGCATGTGGATCTTCCAGGAATCCCATTTGAAGCGGTCGTCTGGGCCCGACTCGACAAGCAACACACTGTTGTTCGGGTCTTCTGTTAAGCGGCTGGCCAGAACGCAACCAGCAGAGCCTCCACCCACAATCACATAGTCGTACTCAGCATTAGAAATGGAAGAGGAGAGGGTACGCACCGCGATCGGTGCGCGGGCGACGGGACAATGCAAGCGGCGTAACATTGTAATGAACAATTTAATTGTAGGCTGTCGTGTGGTTAGGTTTCTATGTTCGAAATAGAACTTTTGGAATTTAGTAACTCCACATTTTATTATTATTTTACTCTAAACACTAGAAACTTATCTTATTTAGACTTCGTTTTTAACCTAGTCCGCGTAGTGGCGTAGTGAATAAATACTACGACTGACGACAAGCATTTATGCGATCTCCATAGCTTTGACAAACTATCTTTAAATGAAAAATCGAAGCATCAATGAGCAAGGTCCAACATGATTATCCTGGATTTGTTTTGAGGTGTGAATCATGTAAAGTGGTTACAGCTTGCATGTATGACAAATTGAGAGTCGCGCTCTTCGCTCTTTATTGACACTTGATAGTGCAAAACCAAGACTTCCTTGTCGAATCTGACGTACATATTCTAATGTGCGAGTCGTATATCAATAAATTATATCATAAATAGGGTACATGGGTACAACAAACCGTAGCTGACCACATACATAATATTTGCATTCTTGCATGACAAGGAGTGCTAGTATCTACAGTGCTTTACAATCTCTTATATTTTAAACCACGCAAAAATGAGCAAACATCACAGCATCAATATGACAAGTATGCGCCTTTAGAAAGCAAACTGTTTCTGCAGTTTAAGATATATACGTGCAGTTTGCTGATGCATTTGTATCATTTTGAGCTTAGAAGTTGCTGACATTTTGTACAATGCTTTATGGACCCCTAATAGCAGTTCCCATCTCGCAAATGCGCAATGAACCCAGCATTCAAAAATAAATAGAACATTCGCAATGTTCTAAAAATAACGACATCGTGTAATAATATCGCTCTTATGAAGTGCATATAGAATGGTGTGAAATTGCAATGGTATGCGTCAGGTCACCCGGCGGACAATTACTCAGACAGCGTTTTAAAAAAACATAGTACGAACTTGCATAAAATACCAGAACATGTAAACACAAGACGCAAATAAATCAGAAAATGATACTAAACTGTGATTTGTAACAAAGTATGGTTTGATATTGCTTACGCAAACCAATTTATGGTACTACAATATTTACGCAAACCAAATTATGGTACTTCAGGGCTCAATTTTGTTAAAATATGGTACGATGATATGGTTTGACTAAAAATATGGTACGAATTTGCATA